TTTCAGAGTTGCAGCTCTTTGGCGAACTTGACCATCCTGGACTCAGTGACCCACATCGGGCATGATGCCTTTCGCAATTGCAGTTCTTTGGTGAACTTGATCATCCCAAACTCAGTATCCCACATTGGAGATCGCACCTTTGCGAGTTGTAGTTGTTTGGTAGCCTTGTCTCTCCCAAACTCCGTGACGCACATTGGGAATGATGCCTTTGTGAATTGCAGATCTTTGGCACGCTTGACCATCCCAGACTCAGTGACCCACATCGGGAATTGGGCCTTCAAGGGTTGCAGCTCTTTGGCAAACTTGACCATCCCAGACTCACTGACGCACATAGGGAATTCTGCCTTTAAGAATTGCAGCTCTTTGTTTGATCTTGCCATCCCAGAATCTCTGACCCACATCGGCGACGGCGCCTTTGACAATTGCCGCTCTTTGGTGAGCTTGACCATCCCGAACTCAGTGACCCACATCGGGGATTGTGCGTTTCAGGATTGCACCCGTTTGGCACATTTAGCCATCCCGAACTCCGTAATCCACATTGGGCAAAGTGCGTTCAAGAGTTGCAGTTCCTTGGCAAGCTTGGCTATTCCCAAATCGGTGACCTACATCAGCACATTTGCATTCAAAGGTTGTAGCTCTCTGGCGCACTTGACCATCCCAGACTCAGCAACGCACATAGGCATTGGTGCCTTTCAGAATTGCAGCTCTTTAGTGCACCTGTTCATTCCGGACTCAGTCATTTACATTGGAAATTCTGCCTTTGAAGGTTGCAGCTCTTTGACCAACTTGACCATTCCGCAGTCGGTGATCCACATAGGGCATGATGCATTTGCCAGTTGCACCTCTTTGGTGAACTTGCCAGTTGCATGCCAGTTGCGACATTGCTGATGGCTTCCGGTCACGTGACCGCGTGACCGCCGCGTAAAACCCATCGGACGAATCAGGTCCTTCCTGCCGGTCTCGGGGCCAAAAAACGGTCTCAGGATGTCTCAGGTCTCTTTTTGCGCTGCTTTCGGGAAGGACGTTTTTTTTGAAGAGGGGGCATGAAGAATCCCAACCCTCCAACAGGTGGTCTCAGCTTTGGAGGGATGAGGGGTGGGCGTATCCCTTCCTCGTCCCATCGTCCCATCGTGGGCGGAGTTGCCCGGTGCATTTAAGGTTTTGCATTCCGCACCTTTAGTGACGCGCTCCCTGCTTATCTCTTGATGTTCTGCCCGAGCCTTTCTTGGGGGGATGATTCTGCCGAACCAGCGGTGGGTCAAGGAGAAACTTTGTTGGGTGTTGTGCATGTAGGGATGTCTACCGTCCTGTTTGATTTTTTTTGGTGATCTTGGTGTCATCTGGTGACGAGATTCAATATATCCAATATATACCCTCATTATAAAATAACTATGATAGTAACAATAATATATTATATATATATATACACCTATGTCATGTACATTTATCCAAGACATATTAGAGGGGAATTGGTGCGTACTATTCATTTGCAATAGAAGGTCATCAAACATATACCCAGATCAGGAGTCGGTTTATACAAAGTTTTTTTTTATTGTAATGTTTATGTTGGCAACTCTATTATTTTGGAGTCTCCAGGGTCATCATGAACCAAATCTAGATCTGGATTTGGAACTCCTGGCGGCCAGGACTGCTGCCTCCGCCGCCTCCGCCCTGGCCGCGTCGGCTTTGGGTCTCCGTTGGATCTTCCCCAAGCGCCGTGGCCTCCGCGCAAAGGCTGAGAAGCCCGTGCAAGTGGCAGGCGGTGCAGCCGGATGTTCCTTTGAAGGCATATGGCTTTTGGGGGATCCATTCCCCCCTTGAAGACAGTCGCGCCCAGCACTGAGGGGGCTCATGATCTAAAACTCCCAAGGCACCCCACCCCGAACCCGCAGCGTGTAGCTTCCTGCATCCGTTTGAGGTGCCCCGGGCTCCTCCAGCTTCTCGTCCAACGGCTCCAGCTTTTTGGGCTCCTCCATGGCGGGATCCGAGCCTCGGCTCAGTCTGCGGCGGCGTTGACTCGGTCTCGGTCGAGTCGCGCCCGCGGACCGGGAGGTCCCCGACGTCTGGGCGGGGCATGGAGGTCCCTGAGAGACGCGCGACGTTCCATGGGGAGAAGATCTGAGACGACCGACCGCGCGACGGTCATGTCGCGATTCGATCAGCTTGGTAGAAGCGAACGGATGAACGAAAGATCCCCAGAGGAAATCCGTAGGAAGAGGGTGTTTCGATCCAAGTGAGGAGGGTTTTCATTGCAGAGTCTATTTGGAACATTTTGGAGCTACTAGGGCCTGTTGTTCAACACATTCCTTGGTAAGACCTACTCTTGGGGCATTGGCCTTGGCTTTTTCCTTCTACCCGCTCCGCATCTCGGGGCCTGGGCGAGGGGAGACCGAGGTGACGAGCTGCGGCCGCAGCGCGAGCGCCACATCTTCCATGACGATGCTCTTCGAGCGCTTCAACGAGAAGGCGCTGAGGTCCGTGCTCTGGGCGCAGGAGCAGAGCCGCCGGATGGGTCAGCCACAAGTGAATGTACCTTGGAGCCAGACGTGGCGTGGCGGGAGCGTGCTGTCCAAGGATGTGAAGGGGTCTGCAGGGTTGGCAGATGGTGGAAGACGGTTGGCAGGTGGAAAACCTTCCTCCAGACCCATCGGATTTGCCATGACCTCCAGACCCATCGGATCCAGGTCCTCCTAACCCATCGGATCCCCCAGGTCCTCCAGACCCATCGGATCCCCGTGACAGCTGCTTCGGCCCCGGCTGAGCTAGGTGGATACCTTGCTGCTGGGAGTTCTTAAGCAAGGTGGTGGAGTCACTGAGAAGGCGAGGAGACACACCATCCTGGACCTTTGAAGGGTGCCCAATGGAAATCCATAATAGTAGTGTAGGGGCTTTCATTGGTGACCCCGAAAGAAGGTGCTGGATGCGATACACAATGTGGATGTTGGGGGGAAAGGCAACAGATGACAGGAGATTCTGTGGAGGGCTGAGTGAATGAAGACCATGAAAAACGACCTGCTGCTTGATTCATGCTTTCAATCTAATGGCTTTCAATCGTCCATGACCTATGGAAACGCTCCACCTCTGGTCTATCTCTACACATCTCTACTCAATTGACCTACCGACCTACATGCTCCAGACCTGCAGGTCGTGAAGCGCTTGAACTTGGACCTGGCAGCGATCACCAAGACTCTCCAGGACTCCGCACTGACTGCGCCGTGCGCCGTGCGGGGGAAGCCTCCGCGCGGCTATCAAAACCGGCCATTTTCCGACCTTGAAATGCCGGGCGAGGGCGGCGTTGGTTGGTGCGTTTGTTGGTGCGTTTTTGTTGGTGCTTTGAGGGCAGATGGATTGGCATCGCAAAATTCTCGCTTGAAGGTTGATGGGTTGACCATGTCACACTGCAAGTGATCACCACATTTTTGGCCCCTGACGGTGCTGGGCGAAGGGGAGCCTGAGTTCATTCCCATGCATATATATAAACGCACTCCATGTTTGGGACTTATGATGTATAATATATAATTAGATACATGCACTTAGTATAGTATATAACTATGCATGCACATACACCAATACGCATCGATCCCTCAAACCTCAATGTATACAAACCTGGACCTTCCATGGGGTGCCCAATGGACGTAAATCAGTAGTGTAGGGGCTTTCAATGGTGACCCCGTGGAAGGTGCTGGTATAGGTACAATAACGCTATAGGCTATAGATAGTTTATGTATTATATACCCCCTGGAAGTCAAGTCGACCATTTTTACAATGGTTGATCTGGTTTTGGTCGTGTAAAACCCTTGGTAAAACAATGGTTGTTCGGGTAAAGGCAATTAAACCAATGGTGGGCCACGACTTCTAGGGTATCATTCTTCTACTGTATATATCAGCACCACTCCGCGGACTTCAGACCTCCAGGAGCGCGCGGAGCGGGGCTCGCAGCCGCCTCCGGCAGAGATCCCCTTCGCCGAGGATTGCAAGAAGGCGCCACCTGAAGACGCCTTTGGGCAATCTACTGTAGCTGAAACAAAGTAAACAGGACCATACCGGACCCCACAAAGTCAGAGTCCTACCAGGACCGACACCAGTCGAGGTGTCCTCTACATAGCCTCTTAGTGGTTAAGGGGCCAGGGGTGTCCAAAAACCACCGGGCGAATGGAAGGAAGGTCCTGGTCAACGGCACGAACATCCCCCACTCCCACACCTGTTTCGGGCTAGCCGTTCGCTTGGAGTCCGGACCCGGGCCATGTTGTCGATGAACGGTTGGTGGTTCATCGCAGATGGTGAACTCAGCTTGCAGGTTTGGCGTGAAAAAGAAACACGTGGTGAAGTTCATTGATTGATCAATAGTTCGCAGTTAACCAGGTAGCAAGTTTTTGGTCGCCTCCACCAACTTACTGAGACATCCAGGAACCCTTGCTGTCTTTTTGGTGTGTGTGTGTATGCCCTTCTGTGAAGCTTCTGTGGAAGATGACTGCTGCCTGAAAGACTTGCCGCAGCATTACGGCTGTGGAGCGCTTCAGAAGAAGACCGTTCCGCGGAGCGGACCCGGCATCGCCCCAAGCACAGGTCTTGAGACGACTTAGACTCAATAAGCACAGGTCCTTTCGTACAGTTTCAACCACCAGATTTAGCTTCAGCAGAAAGGCGCCTTACGTCGCAAACAGGGGTCCAGCGGTATTCAAAACCGCCAACCTTCCTCCATCCAAGTTCGGTTTCATCCGCTCGCGACCGCCCTATGTGTGTGTGTGTGTGCTCACCCCTATACGGTCAGGCCCATCCGCCTTCGCCGAAGGTGTCGACAGCCGAAGGTAGGGAGGTCCGCCACATTAGCAACCCCATTCCCGGCCCTGCTGGGAAGCAACAAGGACTAGCAAGCTCGGTGGGGTTTGGAGTTTTTTCTGACCTGGGCTTTGGTCAGACCTGGTGGCCATGGCGATGAGAATCTCAGCGCTGCAGCCAAGTGGTGAAACGATGATTCTAGAAGTCACACCAGAGATGACAGGCCATGAGCTGAAGCAGCAGATCAAAGAAGGACAGCCCTGGGACGACCTTACTCGGAAGACCACTCGGGTGGAGATCATTGTCGGAGACCACTTGCTCGCCAATGATGCGAAAGTCTGGGACACAGGAGTAGATGCAGATACAGTGAGTGTTATTTTCAAAGTCAACATGGTGGTTTGTTCCAACCAAAGTCAGATGGCTAGCTCGGGGAGCGAGATTGATTTGGAGCTCCCACTAGTGGTTGAACTCCCGGATCATGAGACCAAAATTGCTGAGAGGGCCTTTGACAGCTGTGAAAGGTTGGCAAAATTGATCATTCCAAGGTCGGTGACCCACATAGGCTTTGGTGCCTTTGTGCATTGCAGCATCTTGGCAGGTGTGACCATCCCGGACTCAGTGACGCACATTGGGAATAGCGCCTTCGAGGGTTGCAGCTCTTTGGGTGAACTTGATCATCCCGGACTCGATGACCCACATCGGGCATGGAGCCTTTCGGAATTGCAGCTCTTTGGTGCTTTTGACCATCCCCAACTCCGTGCTTTCTTTTGGTTTTGGTGCCTTTCAGCATTGCAGCTCTTTGACTGCCTTGACCATCCCAGGCTCACTAACCCACGTGGAGAATTGTGCCTTTTCGAATTGCAGTTCCTTGTCTGAACTCATCATCCCAAATTCTGTGATCCGCATCGGCATTGGGGCCTTTGAGCAATGCGCCTCTCTGGCAAACTTGAATATTCCGAACTCAGTGACTCACATTGCGAGAGCTGCCTTCAAACATTGCAGCTCTTTGGCTAATGTGACCATCCCAGACTCCGTGACCCACATCGGCGATGGCGCCTTTGACGCATGCAGCTCTCTGACAAACTTCACCATTCCAAACTCTGTGACCCAGATTGGAAAGGATGCCTTTGCGAATTGCACCTCTTTGAAAAACTTGTGCATCCCCAACTCCGTGACCCACATTGGGAACAATTCTTTTCAACACTGTGGCTCTTTGGTACACCTGTCGCTCCCCAACTCTGTGGTCCACATTGGGCATAGCGCCTTCAAGAACTGCCTCTCCTTGGCGAGCTTGGCGATCCCCAACTCGGTGACCCACCTTGACAACTCGACATTTGAAGGTTGCAGCTCTTTGGCGAATTTGACCCTGCCGGACTCAGTGAGTCAGATTCCACATGGCGCCTTTCGAAATTGCAGCTCTTTAGCGCACGTGTTCATTCCGGAGTCAGTCATCCGCATCGGCAGTTCTGCCTTTGAGGGGTGCAGCTCATTGAACAACTTGACCATCCCGGACTCAGTGACCCAGATTGGACCTAGTGCCTTTGAGAATTGCAGCTCTTTAGTGAACTTAACAATGTCGAACTCAGTGACCTACATTGGAGATCGCACCTTTGCGAATTGCAGCTCTTTGGTGCACTTGACCCTCCCGCCCTCCGCGCACATCGATTTGGGTGCCTTTGCTGGATGCACGTCTTTGGCAGTGTCTTCGAGTGGTCTTGGGCGTACCTAGTCACAGCAACTTGTTGCAGAAAGGCTCAAGGCTTCAGAGTTTGGTCCCAAAAACGCGCCGCGCCGGCGGCCAGTCACACCCGGTTCCCCGCGTCGCGCGTCGGACGCAGGGACACCCTGCCAGGACATGCCAGGACACCCTAAGAGGTGCCTATTGATAGCCCCTTGAGCACCAAAAACCCTGTTGTGGGTCCTAATATATGCCTCTACCAGCACCCGACTTCACAGGTCACCACCTGCCGGCACCTTGAAATGTTCATTTCAGCCAGCAGGGCAGACCTATTGCAGGGTGCTGGTGCACGTCCGGTGACTTGCACCAAGAGATGCGCCCTCAGACAGCAGAGACTCCTTCAGAGGTGCCTCGAGCGGTTTTCAGGGTCTTGTTCATGCCGCGGACTTCCTCCATACCCCTCTTTCCCCACCAGGCCTTTCGTCCGACCTTTCCGCCTCAGACCTCTCGGGTGCCGCCCTTCCCACTCACCTCGCCAGGTCTTGGATGGCGCGGTCAAAGAGTCCAAGGACATGGGCTCCGCCGCCATCGACCCGATCCATATCCTCCTGGCGCTGCTCCGACGCTTGGAACCGCGTCGAAGGGGGACCGGATCGGTGCCCGGTTGGGGGCGGATCGGTGGGGTGAGGAACACCAGGGGCGGATCGGTGCATGGACACTGGCCGAGCGGAGGAAACTGCTCGTGGAGCTGATCCTTTTTGGTGGGTTAGTGAGGTTTTAACAGAGCTCTCATGCAAAACCGTACCTGTCCGTCACTTGGACCTATTGGATGGGCTACAGTGTGGCTGCTACACGCCTGGATCCAGGCGTCCTACACTGGGGCCTTGACACCGCACCCGACACCCTAGCGATGTGCTCAGCTCCAATGACACGCGCTTTCAAGATCGGATGGCCGGTTTGAAGCTCCATCAACTCACCAAGGAATTCAAGGAATACGAACATGTGCCATGTGCACACCAAAATATCATTCTTTTATAACGGTCTTTGGGACCCATGTGCCCTCCAAAACAGGCAAACGCTGACATTTTCAGTGACCTGATGACGTGGTGGTTTGCACCAGCCAGCAAGGCAGATTCATACACTAGCCGTCGGCATATGGACGTGATACCGTGGGTTTTCCAACACTCATTATTTGACCAATTTTTTTTTCTCCACCACATCCAGGCAGCGGAGACCGTTGTTCCGCTCAAGGCAGTGAGGAGAGCGAGACGGTGCAGGACTTGTTGACCATGGAGCCGGAGAAGTTCATCCAGGAGAACTCAGGGTCACAGAGACCAGTGGACGGAGATCGGCCGTTTTGGTATCGGTATAACCCAGCACCTGGCTGTTGCCGCCCCAGCCCACTACTAAGGGTGAAACCTGTTAGGGCCTAACAGCCCTCCAAAGGAGACCTGTTGGAAGGTGCTGGTCTATATATATATATACCAGCAGTCACATGTCGGGGTGCGATCCATGGAGCTTTGGGGTGCCCCGCTAGCTACATCCACGGCCACGGCCCCTGGATGGGACATACCACACCACAACACCACCCAAGTCCATGTGACTCCTGGTATATACACCCATAATTTGATACATATGTTACAAACAAATCGATCATATTGGATGGGGCACCACTCCGTGGCACGTCCGGTGCTGGTGCTGGTGCACAAGTCCCGGGCGCCGAAACGGACCCATCAACGGGGCAAAAACAAGAGCAACTCATTTTTCACAAGACGGGGTGCCGAACTTGGAGGAAGTCGGGGTGTCCATGATTCACTCACTGGATGGGACTCAAAGCCCAACTCCATGTGACTCCCGGGCAAATCATGTGTCCTGCTTTGCCCGAAAGAATCCGTGAGCGCACACCGGAACGCAAAGTTCCGGACCCGGAACTTGCTGGGATTCTTCAGGCGCGTCGATCGAGCATCCTTGATTGGAACTGGTCGGAGGCATCCCCACGTGAATTTATTCCAGCATAGACACCAAACAGCTTTGTCGGCAATGAGAGGTGTTGTTGTTGTGGTGGTGGTGAGGCAGCCGGGCCCTAGGCCCTGCCTTGGAAAGCAACGTAGACAGGATGACAGCAGCAGGACAACCGACAGACCACAGGAGGACATGAGGAGGATACCGAGGACAAAAGGACAAGGAAAGGAAAACAACACGAACACACCAAGAGGACAAAAGAAGGAGAAGCTGTGACCGGACAAGGTGGACAAGAAGGACCAGAGGAGTGCTAGGCCGGAGGAAGGACAAGAAGAGGACAACAGGTGGACGAGAAGAAAACGGGCTCACTGGAAAGCGCGGCCAAGTTGGACAGCAGCAGAAGGAAAGCCCGAGGCCAACTGGAGGACAAGAAGATGTCAAGAAGAAGGAGAAGAAGAAGAAACATAAACATAATAAGAAAGAAGAAGAAGAAGAATAAGAAGAAGAAGAAGAAGAAGAAGAAGAGGGCAACATGAGGACAACGCCCGGACACAGCGTTTGCCTGCGCGGCCACAGCCTGTGGCCAGCTTCTTTTGCACAAGTGGCTTGATTGTGAGGGCTTGCTGGCTTGCCTCAGGGTTTGATCAGCGGCTGCCACTTCAAGTGGCACTTTGCTCCTTTGCCTTGAGTAGGAACCGCAAACCTGCGGCGGATGTTTTGTTGTGTATTGTGGGTTGGTACTGGTCCACCCTGACCCAGGTAAATGAACCTTCTCCTGATGACCTCATTGAGTCGCATTATGTCGCGTTTCTTTTTTGGGACGAACTCCAGCCAAAATGAAATCTTAAGTGACCTATGCCAGGAATGGATCACTTTCTTTCCGAACCTTGGTCGGCGGCAGGAGATCAAGGCCGAGATCCAACGGATGGAGGAAGAAGCGGAAAAGACGGGCGACACGACAGGCGGCGACGAGACGGACGGGAGTGGTGGAGACGGACGGGTGTGGTGGATCTGTAGGATATGTGGGTGGACTGGTTGACACTTGGCGGGTGGTGGACTGGTGTGATTGGTGCGATGTGTTGGTCCAAGGGTTTAGGATTGGACCAGTGCACGTCTGGCTGCAGGTGGTTACACCCTGGAAGACTAACATGGAACCTGACAACCCCTGGTTGCTAGAGGAAAATCGTCTTCCATGGGACCAGGACGTCAGGGTCTATGTTAGTTTTCGGGAGTGTATGTAATTGCTTTGGGTGGTTTCGGGGTCGTGGTTGGGAGAAGCCGAGCTTTCCCCACATTTGTGTGGGGATGGTGCAGGTGGGTTGGACATGTTTGCCATAGATAAAGGTGGTTTTTCCAACAGATCTTTTGTTTTTTTCTGAGTGAAGCAACTGGCCCTTTCCACAAAAGTCGGTTGGAGACCGAGGAATTCGCCCTCCCTACTTCTGCCAAGGTGCCCCTCTTCGGCCAGGATGTGACCAGCACGTCTGGGCACCCTCTCAGGTGTGAAGCTGTGGCCCCTTCAGTGGCCAGTTGAGTGATCCCAGTTGAGTGGTTTTACCCAGACGCTCATGGACCCTGCTAAGTAGGGGCCGTACCCTCATATGGAGGGGTCCGGACCCGAACCAATCCCTATGGTTTTGAGGGACCAGTCGGGCGTCGTTCACGGAGCGTTTGGTTTTAGGATGTTTGGAGTCCGTGGATGTGGCCGAACTGCAGCGGCACCCCGCACCCCACCGGCTCCGCGGCTCCGCTCGTCGAAGGCCTGGTGCAGAAGAAGGCCACCAAGGCGGCCGTGGGGGGAAGGAGAGTGCCATGAGGCTCGGGTAGACGGTCTTCGATCGCACCGGAAGGGCCGTGAGGTCATGGGACTTGGACTAAGAAGTCAGTCGTCCCAGCATGTAGGGGATGGTCGGGGGTACTGGATGGTAGGTGGAAGGGTGGGATGAGGTGCATCAGAGGCCGAGACATGGTACTGACACCGTGAGTCCATTGTCACACCGCCGCCTGGCCTGTTTTTGGGCGCTGCAACTCACCACGAATCACGCGACTGTCAACGGTTGGGGCCATCACAGGAATTGGACATGGTGAGTTTCAGAAACAGCAGCCACAGGGCAGGAGGAGAGCCTTGTGAAAGCTTCACCTGCAATCTTCATCCGTTGGAGGATTCAGCAGGCTGAGGATTCAACGCTTCAAGCATGTCTTTGCTCCCAGTCTCTGCATATCTCTGCTGTAAGTCGTCCGCCCCCCCGGAGAAAAACAACACTTACCTAGCACTTCCTGTCCGGGTGCCCTGGAGTAGGAGGCCTGTTTACGTAAGGTAGGGTAGTCGAACGCCAGGACACCCAGATGGTCGGATAATCCTGTACTTCATAGAGGGTTTTATGGTGACGAAACGATAAAGGTAGGGTAGGGTAGAAAAAAGGGGTCTAGCCGCGAGGTAGGGTAGTCTAGCCGCGAGGACACCCAGGCAGGATGCTCCCAGGACCTCGGCTCACGGGTGCTTCGGGGTGCTTCGGGTCCGCAGCCGTTCACCGACGGTGAGCTGCCGTGCTTGCGGCAAACGTTGGAGGGATCAGACACCAGTTGAAGCTGGATCGGCAGAGTACAGTGGGATCAGTAGGTAATTAGGTGCCGGCTTCAAGTCCCATCAAAAACATCCAGTTACCGTAACCAGTGAGGGAACCGTCTCCAGGCAGTGCATTGCAGTGAGGCGCATGTAGGGCCTTTGTCACCTCGGACATGATATTCCCTGAATGCTGGGAAACAAGGACTAGCAAGACCTGGCAGCCATGGCGATGAGAATCTCAGCGCTGCAGCCAAGTGGTGAAACGATGATTCTAGAAGTCACACCAGAGATGACAGGCCATGAGCTGAAGCAGCAGATCAAAGAAGGACAGCCTTGGGATGAGCTGACTCGAAGGACTACAGATGTGATGATCATTGTTGGAGACGACCACTTGCTAGCCAACGACATTCAGGTCATGGACGCAGGAATTGAGCCAGATTCTCTCGTGAGCATCGTCTTCAAACAAAACACTGCGAGATGCTCCAACCAACACATGATCAAAAGTGCCAGAAGTGATATTGACTTAGAGCTTCCGTTTGCGATTGAAATCCCAGACCATGAAACAGAAATTGCCGAGATGGCCTTTGAAGGCTGCGAAATGTTGGCAAAATTGACCATCCCGGACTCAGTGACTCAGATTGGGTTCGGTGCCTTCGAAAGGTGCCACCAGTTGGCGTATGTGACCATGCCGAACTCTGTGGTACACATCGGAAACGGCGCGTTTTGGAATTGCATCTCTCTGGCGAACTTGACCATCCCAGACGCCGTCACCCACATTGGGAGTGCTGCTTTTTGGAACTGTAAATCTTTGGCAAACTTGACCATCCCAGACTCAGTGACGTACATAGGGCATTCTGCCTTTAAGAATTGCAGCTCTTTGGTGAACCTGACCATCCCGAAATCAGTGACCCACATTGCGAGTTCTGCCTTTCAGAATTGCAGCTCTGTGTCAAGCTTGACCATCCCAAACTCGGTGTCCCACATTGGGGAGCGGGCCTTTTGTGGTTGCAGCTCTTTGACGGCATTGACCATCCCAGACTCAGTGGTCTACATTGGGGATAGCGCCTTTGAGAATTGCAGCTCATTGGTGAACTTGACCATCCCAAACTCAGTGACTCACATTGAGGGTTCTGCCTTTCAGAATTGCAGATCTTTGGAAGACTTACCGTACCTTTCCGATTGATGGAGGACTGAGTGAATGTCGTGGTCTTGGCTCTTTGAAAGCCAAGGCTTAACCCGGTGGAGGCCTTTCAGGCACTGTAAGGCCTCTTACAAGATTTGCTACAAGTGTCATCCCGATCCCATATCATCAGAAAAAGGGCACGAGGCCATCCCACTCCCTGCTCGATTTCCATCACCATCCGAGTTCGACAAGTGTGTCCATCGTCTTCGACTGTTCGTGGGATATGGTACATTATGATACCCTCCCTGGTACAATCATGGAAGCGGAAAACCCCTGTGTATCCCCGTGTGGTATTCCGAAAATGGTCATCAAACGGTCCATTTCCACTTCCATGATGGTTGAGGGAGTGCAAGTGCTATATACATTTAGACTATATACCATGGAAGAATGTGTAGTTTTGATTGGTCCTACAAAAACACTCAAGGAGGTCAAAGACAAAGACCCATTTTTGCTGGGTCAGACTGAACTTGCGCACCCGCAGGGGCCTTACATACCAAGAGAGGTTGTTCACAGCCCTAAGGTCGCCCATCCCGTATGTACCACAGGCCAGGGTCCGAACGTGAAGCGACCTCTCAACCTCTCTTGGTGGTCTTGGACACATCGTATGCCGACCCTTTGTGTGGTGCTCCACTCCACGGGACCCGCTCTGCTTCACTTGCCCGGACCGGTGTGTTGTTCCGCTACCCTCTGGGTGGGAAGAACCGCAGACCTCTGGAGGCTCATGGGAAGGGAAGAGGAGGGAAACTATGGACATACCATAGACCTTCATAGACCTTCCAACATTCTGGAACATTTATGCCCTTTTCATCTGCAAACGCAAGCTAGAGGGCAGACATTTGGAAGATCTATATAGGTATATTTATATCGACCAAGATCCAGTGAGTGACAGGTCTCTCCTGTCTAATGCGTTTACCACACGCTCTGCTTGACTCAATGCTGGATATACGTGCTGGCTATATAATTCAGGAGTTGTTGTGCTTCTCAGGGTTTTGATCCAATGTTCATCCTCCAGGATCATCCAATGGATTTCCAGTAGACTACCCTACCCTGCTAGTCTCCAGACCGTCACCTATTGGAAGTGCGAGGTTCCCGATTTTGCTCCATGTTAAGCATGATCATAGGGGGGACAGAACTGAGGGTGGGAGGCTCCTTCTTGGAGCCTCCCTGTTTCAGCTCTTCGACACCTTTTTGCAGCCTTTTGGTTCCTTTGAACTCCTTGGACGGGCACCAAAAGTGCCACGGAACCAGCGGTGTGTTCTATCCAGGGGTGTTTTCTTTTTTTTCTTCTCCCTCACTCTCCGATCTCGGTTGAGAGACCTGAACTGGGACGCCGTAGTAACGGATGGGCGCCCGAAACAGGGCTGTGAAAACACCACTGCTTTCCTTTAGAGCGACCGCTCCGCTGTGCGGTGCGGTGGATGGTGAAGGGTGTTGGGCTAGAACCCACCCAGCGGATCGCGAGCTCCGTTTTTGACGGACGGACGGCAGGCCCTGGATGAGTTTGGCAAGAACCTCACGGAGGCGGGTCGAAGCGAACCGGGGCACCGGAGGCGGGCGGTGAGAGGTGGGAGAAGGAGAAGGTGGTGGACCAGAGGCACGAGGCGCTGACACACCCGAGATGAAGGTGCTTTTCACGAAAGCTAGCGAAGCTAGCTGGAGTTACTCTTGCGATAGCAAGGTTTCTTTCCACCGGGTGCAAATCCTAACCCCTGATTTTTCAGGTCGAAGACCCCCCCCCCCTTGTCTTCCTCCCATCTTCCCTCCCTCCCTCCTCCCTCTTCGCAAGTTCGACTCCGTCCTGTCGTCGCTCTTTGGCATGCGGTTAGCGTTGCGTATCTTGCGGCCGCACTCGCTCACTCTCACTCTCACTCTCTCACTGTCTCACTGTCTCTCTCATCTCTCATCTCTCTCATCTCTCTCATCTCTTTCTCATCTCTCTCATCTCTCTCTCCTCTCTCTCTCTCTCTCCTCTCTGTCTCTCGTCTTTCCGTCTCTCTTCTCTCTCTTCTCTCGCAGGAGGATCCGGGCAAAGAGCCACACATAAAGGACTCTTCACCCCTGCCTCCAAAAAGAGCGCCGTGCTTTTTCCTACCTCTCTGCCCTCCACTTTCCCATTCTGGAGCGCTAGCTTTCGCCCCCCCCTTGGCCTCAAGTCATGTTAGGCTTTAGACTCTTGAGGACCATAAACCACCCCTTTGAAGAAGATGTTCAATTCAAATGGGGGGGTGTATGGTCCTCAAGAGTCGGCTTTGAGAACGTTTTATTTTTGTGGTGCTGATTGATGGGTCCTGGGCAGGAACCCGTTTCACCCTCGAAGAAGCAGTTGTTGGGACTAGCTGCATGGTAACGCGCCAAGAGTGGCCCTTCCAAACCCCTTCCCCCCCACATCGCACCACCAGACTGGGCAGTCACCGGCTCCCACCCCGGAACCAGGTCCAGGTCCAGGTTTCAGACTTCGAAAGCACCGATGGATGCGCGGCGCCGCATTCGCAGATCCGGAAATCCAAATCCAATGTCTCTGAGATGGCGGCCAGTGGGTTCTTCCACCAGCCACGAAGCCGTTGGGTCGGAGCTGCCGAGGCTGCGAGGATCTCTGAGAGGGGTCGAGAGAACCAGCCTGGGACCCCGTAGGCACACATGTCAGGGGCCCAACAAACCATGAAAAACCTGGTTTTCCCTAGCAAACAAACTGGTTTTGGTTTGTGAAAACCTATATTTTTCATGATTTTGAGGGCCCCTGGATGGACGAAACGAGTCAGGTCTGTTCGAGCCCAGGCGGCGGCGAATGGCTTGATGGATCCGCTGGTGGGGCGTGACGAGGAGCCGCCTTGCTTGGTGTGTGTGGGGCGACGGGCCTGGTCACAAAGACCTACAAAAAGCTATATCGTCCGACACTCATATATTACACCCGGGAAGATTAACATAGAACCTGAAAACCACTGGGTTGTAGAGGAAAGTAGTCTTCCAAAGGTCCATTTTCAGGTTCCATGTTAATCTTCCCGGGTGTAGTCATACGTAGATAGGTCTTGAAAAAGCCTCCCTATATTTCAAAGGGTTTACAGTTTACACTCCATGTCTGGGGAAGTTTCATTAGATCATCAGTGGCTGTCAACCGCACAAGAGGAAAAGGCTCCGATGCCTATACCCATAATCTCGATCATCTTGCTATACTCTCTTGGATGGGATTCTCAGATGCCTTCTAACTTCTTCCTCAGTGACCCGCAAAGGTCTCCCCATGACGGTGACCCTGGGTCATGGCGGAGTGTCCAGGCGCGGGCAGAATAGACGACCCTGACCATTTTAACTACTAACTACTGTACCCGGTTTCATGAATATAGCAACCTGGGTTTGGACCCACGGCCAGGAACCCCCCCCCCTTCTTTCCGTTCGTGCGAACGACCTGACGTGGCCAAACACATGAACCCGCGCAGGAAGTGGACAACGAAGTGACGTGACTGATGAGCGATATGGCTTGCCATCGGTACCGGTCGCACGATCTCCGCAAACAAGACACATTATATAAACAATTCAGGAAAAATACAAAAAATCAAATACACCGAAAACAACCCAAAGAAACAATCCCAAAGAACACAGAACACATCCCAAAGAACACATCCCAAAGAACACATCCCAAAGAAGACTTCCCAAAGAAGACATCCCGAAGAACACATCCCAAAGAACACATCCCAAAGAACACATCCCAAAGAAGACTTCCCAAAGAAGACATCCCAAAGAACACATCCCAAAGAACACATCCCAAAGACACCTAAAGAGGTGGTTGGTTTAAACTTGTTTTTTCTCCAGGAGATCAACCGCGCGATCCAGATCCTCGCACGACGCTCCAAGATGCCTGGCTCGACCGGAGGGGAAGCTTCGACGCTTCGACGTTTTTCGACGTGATTTGTTGATCTAAGCAGGCCCACCAACCAAGAGAGGTTGAACAGCCTTATAGCCCATCCCATATGTACCACTACAGGATCTACAGGGTCCTATAAGGTCTCTCAACCTCTCTTGGAATCGGAAAAAGATCGATGCGACATCTGGAAAGAGTACGATGCAACACCTGGACACATCGATGCGAAATCTTTGGGTTCCGGAGCGGCTAAGCCGCCATACTGATTTCAGCATTTTGAATCCACTTGCGTCCTTGAAACTCCACTTGGTGACATTTGTGAGAAGAACTGTTATCTATACTGTTTCTAATATATGGGTGTGTATATGATATGGATGGTGCGACCACGCAACCAACGGGTGTTGAAAACAGTCTGTCCTCTCCCCAAACTAAACACGCATATGCAAACGCTTCACCCTTGCAACCTATTGGGGTTTCAACGGATTGCACCGGTTTTCGTTGGTTTTTGGAACCCCAGGGCTGACGGCGACGGGTCAGGCTCACTACGGGGCCCCGTCCGGGAGATGAAACTGCAAAGCTCAGTTCACCGACGACGAAACCGAGGAACAACCCGGTGCTGATTGGCGAGCCGGGCGTGGGCAAGACGGCCATCGCGGAAGGGCTGGCCATGCGCATCGTTGCCGGGGAGCGGGTTGGGGTGGGGGGTTTGGTGGAGCTGAGTGGGAGGTATATGGATTCCACCATGGTGGTCGGAGAAGGAAGAGACTTGGGTGAAAACAGATGTTTGAGTTGGATGCGTTGCAACGGTGGGGTGGTTTGCCCTTGGTGCTGTTCTTCTCCCAGGTCTCCCCCCTTGGGAGGCAGGTTCGCGTCCGGACGCCATGGAGGGCCCCAGGAGTCTTAGGCGGTGATGATTCCTTTGATGACATCAGCGCCCAAGAGACTCGACTCTTCTCCACTCATCTCCGGTTTCGGGCTGGGAATCACGTAGCCAAGAGCTCATGTCCTCATAGCCTGGTGGCTTTGTAGACCCTCAACCAACAAAAAAAACAACTCTTAGAACATCATTCCAACGAGTCGGATTTTTTTAAAACGTATTTGTTAAAGGTCGAGGGTCTGGCGTTTCTGAAACTTCGGATGGAGCGGTCCCTCACCTTGGGCGTATCGCATTCGGCCGAAGCGCTTCGTTAAGCGCTGTTGCCTGGAGAGGACGTGCCGGAGATGTTGACGGACAAGATCATCATCGAGTTGGATATGGGTTCCCTCCTGTCAGGCGCTACGCGTTGGAACGCCAGGAGAAAAAAAGAACGTCGGACGACCAGTAACAGGTGCTTGCTTCGCTCCAAACAGAACCCCAGGGCGGCCATCTACCCAGTCAGTGGATATCATCACCCGACACGACCAGGACATTGGAGCGAACCAAGGTCTCGGAGCGCGAAGCTCGTCGAACCCGTCCGTTTCTTTTTTTCGGACACGACGCTGAACACCTGGGACCGTCCCTCCTAGGGTGATCCACAACGAGTGTAGGGTAGTCTATTGGAGACCCTGTGGAAGGTCCAGCTTTTCTGGTTGAAATCCTCTTCCAGTCGGTGCATTCGCTTTTGGCCGCTGCGACAGCAACATGTTTGAGGCTTTCAGGCGGCAATGTCAACACAAATCAAATCAACTCCTCTTTCTTTACCAGAGCTATGGCCATGCGTGTTTTGCCCCACAATCATCAGGTGGACACCAACCCAATCTCGCCATGGCCATCATATGTTTTGGCACCTCCTTGCGGCCTCGAGGTGCCAAGTACCGTGGTGAGTTTGAGGAACGCCTCAAGAACATCATCCAAGAAGTCCGTGATGATCCCAATATCATCCTCATGACGCTCGGCTCGGATGGTGAAGGGAGGCCGGGATACATGGGTCTTTGGCCAAGCGTGCTGTCTGACCCGGACCAAAAAGGCCATTTGGTGAAGACTTGGATAGAACAATTCCATTTGGTGAAGAACTATGTTCATCCATTTGATGGAGTGGAATGCATGAACAACAATTGGATGTACAATCGCCAGGAGTCGCAAGACGGGGTGGTTTTGAGCCCCATCCAGTGAGTGGATCATGGGCACCCCGACTTCCTCCAAGTTCGGCAACCGGTCTTGTGACTCCTGGAGTTTCATGTTCTTTCGGACGATGTTCTTCCACCGACCGAGATGGCTTTGGTCCCATTCTCGGTGAGCGAGTCAAAGCGCTTTTTCACCACGGTGGAGGAAGAAGATCTGACCTTTACATCTCCAAACTGCTTCGGGCGGCCCGTGGTTGTCAGCAGATGTGTATATGGTATGTCAGGACGACTCGCGTTTTCACGGAACCCTCCCTTCGTGTTGTCCGCTCCGTTCCGCTCCGAGACCCAGCTGCCACGGCTCCTCGGATCTCGGTCGGCCTCCAGGATCGACGAGATCCATACCTTGGTGGGCGCCGGCGGCGGCGGCGACGGAGGCGCCATGGATGCGGCCAACATCCTCAAGTGGCCTGGTGGGGGACTGGGGTGGAGCGGAGTGGGGTGACTGGGACTCTGGCCGGTGCTTTTTCGGTGGCGGGAGGTCGGTTGGTCGGTTAGGGGGTGGCGGTTCCGACGGTGAGACGGTGGATGAATCGACCCGTGTTCCCCCCTGCCAGACGGGTTTTAGATCTCTGTGCGGTCGGTTGTCTGAATCGATTCGATAGACCATTCGATCGACGTGAAAGCGAAGGAAGACGGCGGGAACACCGCAGCTGTGAGTGCATCAGGGTGTGTATCCTAAGGCGAGGGAAGAGCCATGCTACCTTTCGGCGATAAGTCGTCTGCCAGGAAGCAACAGCTCTTGTATCAATTTCAGATGGGCTGCTCCGACCGGTCCCTACAAGTCCAGTCTGACTTAGTAAAACCTGGTCTCTGACGTACTTCCAACTCCTCTAGTAAAATGAGCTCCAACTGTCCAGTAGGGTGTCCGGCGAAGACTTGTTTTTGGTTCGTAGGAGTGGCCGCTGTGAGCATGGGCGTTCTTGAGTCCTGCAGCCCTGGCTACATATGCCACCCAAAGGAGTGCTGCAGATGCTTTTTGCTATCGGACAGTGCTGCAGATACTACAACTGCACTCATTGACATGGATATATTGTCATTCGATCTTCATTCCTTCTTTGGGGGAACCCCCGATGCCACACGTGCGCTGGGCAGTCAATTGTTGGGTTCACACATGTTCACACCATCCGAGTCTGGAGGTAGGCCCTTGTTACTAGCGGCTTCTTGTTCCTAGTAGTAATGCCAGGAGCTACTAGTAGCGTCCTTGCCACTCATGTTACTAGCGATGCCTCTGCTACTGGATTTCCTGGGCACCGCTCCTCCCCCACAGCAACGACCCAAGACAGTGACCCTCCTTGGGATGGCCTAGGCCCGCGCTGGCGCGCGGCGACATGCAGATCATTGGCGCCTCGGCTGGTCTTGGTTGGTTTTAGGCGCTCAAAAAGAGCGGGGCCTCCAGAAATAGATCCAGCCTTTGAGTGGGACATCTACCAGGGCCCTCGTTTTTTTAGGGATGTCTAATCAAAGCCCCTAGAAACCACTCCGCACCCGGGTCCTGATAGAGGACTGATGTTTCTATGGCAGGTAGACCTTGCACATCAGCCTAACATGCCTAGGGCCCAAGCTACAAGGCTACATTGGCCCCTAGGCCCTTACTGAAACAGACGTGCTTGGTCCTGGGCGAGCTGGCTTTGGACCAAAAGGAGGTGATTTTGATGTTCAAGCACCTTACGACCGTTGACCGGCGTACCTGGCCGACCCTTCTCCTGGAGACGCCCATTTGACCATCGGTTGCCCAACCCATCGCCGCCGAGTTGGGTGCCGCGACCGAGGGGCCACGACAGTGGAAGAGTACCGGAAGTACGTGGAGAAGGACAAGGCAGGGCTGGGGCGGACTGGAGGACTGGGCTTTCAGCGACTGTCCGGCAGATCAACTTGGACCCCCCCCTGGCAGCACTGGGCTGAGGACAAGGGTCTTCGAAGGGTCTCATAATATATGACTTTCGGTTGCCCAGTGCAGCCTTGGGATCGATTCACTCCATTAAAAGCACCCAGTTTTTCCAAACAACGAGTTTTGCTTCTTGGGGGAGCTTGCGAGGCAGCACGGGTTCCAACCCGGTCCTGTTCGCTACAGGCTCTCTCCCATTTGGACGCCTCAACAAAAGCATCCATGCACCGCCACTACATCCAATGAAATCACAGGCCGAAAGCTCCTGGCGGTGCCTTTCATCCCCCATGGCGCCGTGCGGCTTCAGCCCGGTGCTCCTTTTCGCCGCGCACGTCTTCGGCCCCCCCCGTTTCAGCTCTGCCGGTGCGCGGCGGCGCGGGCGCGGCGGCGGCGTGACCCACACGAGGCGCTGGAGCGTCGCTTCCAGCCGGTCTCGGTGCCCGAGCCCACGGTGGACGAAGCGGTGCAGATCCTCCGCGGCATCGCGCGGAAGTACGAGGCGCCGCGCAGGGGGCAAAGCCGTCGTCCTCCGTGTCCGCCGGGGTTGGAAGAAGTGCGGAAGGCTTTGGGGTCGAGGTGGGAGGTGAGGGGGACGCGGGTGAGATGTGGAGAGGTGAGAGGTCGGGGGCCAGATGGTGCTTGGCAAAAGATGCCTTTTGTTGGGGATTAAGGCAAGGCTTATTATATTTATGGTGAACTATGGTGAACTCTCTAAACTCTGTGTGAATAGCTTGGTCATGCTTTGTCTAAGATGAAGTTGGAACCCTTCAGACCTGTTTTCATGAGCTTGACCCTCCCCGCAACAAACCATGGAAGTTCTTCTTTTCCCTAGGCTTGTAGAGGGAAGAAGGTCTTCCACCACCGGCCCATGGTCCACTTCCACTCTCGGACTTGTGGACCGCTGACTGGCGCGACCCAATTCCTGGGACTTGGGTCTCTGGATTCTCAAAAACACCCGCGTGGCCGCCCGTGGCCAGCGCCAGCTCGGCCTCTTGGCCTCATCTCCCACCTTTGAGGCTCACCACCGCATCCGCTACTCAGAGGAGGCCTTGCAATCCTGCGTGAAGTTTGCGTCCCAGTACATCCAGGACCTTTGAAGTCCACCAGCCGTGTCGTGACGCGTGTCGCTCGCGGCGTGGGTCGCCTCCACAGCAGGCCAGAAGGTGACCCATTAAATGACCCGGTCGCCAACAGCATGAGCGTGAAGGAAAGGGGGTGGTTGGTGTTGTGGTCTTACATCCTCAGTACAACAATACAGTAGAAACATGTAGAAACTCATTAAACTATATTAAACTAACCAATGGTCGATGAACATCCTCGGGGTCAGTTTCAGCAGGTTCTTTTCGGCGAAGAGCGATGGCGTCAGCTTCGATGGATGTTTCACAGCGGCAGTTCACGCTGCAGCTCAACGGGTCAGTAGAGGGCCCAGTGCAGTCCCCCAACAGTGATCAGAACCCTACTTCCCACCCCCAAACCGAACCACGCCACGTTGAGTGACTCGACCTTACTGGATCCCCCCCCCAAAAAGGGGCGAGATCACCCCCCCCTCGGACCCCTCGGACCAGGTGCTCCGCCCCTCCGCGACCCTCCGCGACCCGGCTCGGCTCCGCAGACCTGGGCGGGGTCCCTGCCTACAGAGGTTAAGCGACCGGAACGTTCGGACCCGTCACCAGGGGTACCGAACTAGGAAAGTCGAACGTTCGGGTTCTGACCCACCTCTGCTGGTGGGGGGCCAGGACCGCTACTTGCCCGACAAGGCGATCGACTTGCTGGACGAGACGGGCGCCCGCGTGCAGCTGAGGCGCGGCGCGGCTCGGGTCTGGTCGCCGCGGCTAGGAGAGGAGAGGGAGAGAGAGAGGGATCCAAAGGCGGTACGGCTTTGGGGGCAAAAAGAGAGAGGTGTGTGTGTGTGTGAATTATCTTTTTTCCGAGAGGGTGGTGGATTCTGGATTCGAAAAAAATAGAAAGCACCCTGGGCCGGAGGTTTTTCAGTCCATGTTTGGGGGGGTTCATTCTATGAATCAAGAGTCTACATTAGATCCCCTCAACTAGTTTTGGTCTTTTGGATTTCTGTGGGATGCCGGATCATCCAGGGTATGACTTGTCCGAGATTTGCTTGGGATTTGGAGACTTTTGGACTTGCTGTGCTTTGAAGGATGGCAGCTTTGGACCCGTCTTCCGAACAGCTTTCTTGGGAACCACTCAGGCCAGAGTTCGAGGCGACATTTCAGCTCAGGGTGGGCCCCCCCGATGTGTGCCGGACTTTCCAACCAATCATTGAGATGGTTACTTCGGTTTCGGAGGTTGGTGACATATGTATCACTGGGGGCATATGACCAAGGATGAACCACTGCGATACCACCCGTTTTTGGAACCACACAAGATCCAACAGCATCTAACAGATTATTATCATAAGTTCCTTCAGTTTGCTCCAGTCCTCGGGTTCCATGCCTCCAGTCCATGGCACCCAACATGTCTTGCCCATCACCCCACGCAGCACTGGGCGGCCGCGGGTTCCGCGGGTTCCGCGGGTTCCGCGGGTCCCACGTCGCAGGCAGCTGGCGACCGTGCCCGAGGATGCCTGGGAGCTTCGGCAGGAGCTGAGAGACGTGGAGGCGCAGAAGGAGTCGGCGGTGCGCGTGCAGGACGCTCCCACGTCGCGGACGAACGTTCCGCCTCTCGTCTTCGCGCGCGAAGTCTGGGGGAGGACGGGGGGAGCGGAGCTGAAGAAGCTGAAGAAGCTGGGCAGGTGGACCCTGGAACTGGGTAGAGGAGAAGAATGTTCCAAGTGACGCTGTCTAGGGGGAGCCTTGGGCTTGTCTGTGGCCCGCTGATGACCACTCCGGGGCACCAGGACTTTAAGAAGGCTGGGGAGCTGAAGAAGAAGGCGCGAAGCTGGGTGGGAACTCGCAGCGAAGCTCGGGTCGCTCGGACCTTGGGAGGAATCAGCCATGTTGAGGTGAGTTACATTGATTTGGTCTGATCGGGTGGTCTCATCTGCCCAACCAACCGTGGTAGATGGTTGCAACGATGATCAGCCGCCGGCTGATGGTCACCTCCGCTGGTCGGCACTTGAGTGCGAAGAGTTGAGAAGTCAAGTCAAAGGAAGCCAAGACGGCGCCGCGCCTGGTAGGGCCAGACGTGTGCAAGGCCTTGTGTGGATGGACATGACATTTGATGTCGGCATATGTGAGCTGACCTAGGAGACTGACAAATAAGATGAAATAAGCAATGGCTCCCAGGTTTTCCACATTGTTAGTTTGCATGTAGTTTGGCCTTCCAGATGGGAGGGGGCCCAAGTCTAAGCTAGCTTTCAGCTGGAGGTCATGTCCAAGTTTCGGACTGGTCGCTCCTTGTATTCAATACTGTGTTGGTAGGCCGTCTCCATTTTTCTTCCCTTTTTGCCCGCTTATAGTCTTGTTGTCGATAGGATTTCAGCCTAATATGGGAAAGCAAAGTGGCTCTCCAGTCTTGTTTTCATTATTTTTTGTTTTTGCTCGCAGGAGGATGATTTGCAATGCCAGCTCTACCAGCGCCTCGACTGTGCAATGAACACAGGGTATGGCCTGTTGACCTGTTTTGGAAGTGCTATAGGTTTCTAGCAGGGACCCACCCTGGCAATAGGACCAGCTAGACGTTCTGAGCATACTGTGGCATATCCCGGATCCCTACAACCGCTGCCCGCCTTTGAAAGAGCGTTTGAAGTTGCAGCACTTGGCAATGCGCAATGGTATATTAGAGCAGTTGGCTCTGGGAAATGTGGAAAGACATTTGTGCCCGTATTTTTCCGTTTTGGATCATTTTGGTACGTAGGCTTTGCAGCCCAAAGCAGCAATCCACCGGGATGCCCGCCCTGAGGTTTATGAAGAAGAGCAAGGACGAGCCGCCCGCGGAGCCAGTTGAGGAGCAGCGCTGGCCGGGACGTGGATGGGACGTGATGGGAGGGCCACCGGGATTTGGAGGCGGAAAGCCGCAGAGAGAGGCTCGTGGGGCTTGCAGATTTGAGCCATCATGATCCAAAATGCTTAGAGAAAAATTGATGGTTTCACTGTCTTGGCTCGGATTGGTCCACATGTTTTTCAAGATTCAAGACCAAATCAGCCCAATCAGTTTGGCAACTGGAAATGATATTTCGCCTCCATCAGTTTGGTTGCGCAAAGGAGGACCCCAAACGGGCCACCAGTGTTGCAGGTGCCTTCTGGAAGGGGCACGGGGCAAAGCGAGAACATCCATTGAGTGGTTTTGGTTTTGTTCCAGGTGCTTCCAGTTGCCCTGGTGGGGGTGGTACATCAAGAGTCTCATTTCTCAAGTTGGATTTCACCAGAGGCCCTCTATCGACACCTCCCTAAACCCGGTCGACCCTAAACCCCTCCTCATCCTTCTGATCCGGCCCATGCTTCCACTGGCGGGAGCAGCTCGCGGCACCTGGAGGAGGTGCCCAAAGACCCCAAGGCGGAAGCCAAAGAGGAGGCGTCCACTGAACACTCTGCAGTCGATGCTCGCACCTAAATAGCCGGGGCGATGCCGGCGAAGAGGATCTCGGATCCTGTAGAAGTTTCTTCCGTCTTTAACCTGCCGTCAAATCATTTGGAACGTTGGTAAAAGCTCCATGAAGCAGCTTATGGTTAAAATTATTCATAGTCGAAGAATGTCGAAGATCTCTTATACAATAGATTCCTCTTCTTCATCTTCTCGAGCTCCAGTGGTGCTTCTGGACGAACCTTCACCCTCCGGTCACCGTAAGTGACAGCCAGGCGAAGGTGGTGGAGCTGCCGCCGCTCTCCGCGGAGGACGTGGAGGAGGCACTGGCCAAGCCGGTGGTCACCGAGAACGACGTGGCCTCCGTGGTCTCCGCCTGGACCAAGGCGGGCACAACGGGCGGCGAGCGGGGGGGGACCGGGTCCGGACGGCCAGGGATGGTTGGAAGATGTTGGAACGATCGGGCTCACCCGAGAGAGCGGAGCTACGCTGCGGGGGAGGCGCGGTCGGCTGTGATGAGGTGGATCATGGACGATGGATGATGGGTCTTCAACCAGGACCCTCCAAGGGGTGTCCAATGAACTACCCCACACTACCTATAGGGTTCCATGGCGCACCCCTTGGAGGGTCCAGGAATGTTCCAGTATTTTCGAGACATCTGTTCGAATCTTATTGACTGAGTGGGCTGGGGACGCGAAGTGGCGGGGTGGGCAAGGGTGAATTCATTGGTCATTGTTGGGGATGCTCTGTGCAGCTACCAGTTGGTCCGGAAGTGGAACTCAGTTTTCTGGCGTTCAGGATCCGTGTTAGTACTTCACAGTGGGGGTACGGTTAAACTTCCGACTTCCATGTACCTACGCCCTTCAATACCCTTCAGATCCCTTCAGAACCTTCGCCTTCCGGCCCTGCTTCGCAAGCGCCTGAGCTCAGGTGCCCGTGGAGAAGGTCTCGGCGGATGAGTCGGTACGCCTGGTGCACTTGGAGGAGACCGGCGGTCTGCGGCCCGCCGAGACGGAAGCTCCATGGGACTGGGGGGGTCGGAGTCCGACACCGAAACGCAGGGGTCCGGACCCTCACCAAGCCCCTAATTCATCTAATTTGAGGGCCCGGTTTCTTAGGGCATTCTTGAGGAATGGAAACGCACGGCCCGTGGTGTCTAGTCATAGGGTTCATGAACCACCCCGTATCCGGGTCCTCGTAATTTTTGGTGTGTTTGGGTTTTGGCTCCATGCACTGACACCCTCCATCGGTCTAAAAAGTCTCAATTGGTGACCTATAGAGTCGGGTGTTGTATCCAACCTTTTACTGGCATTGCATTGACCTCCGTTCAACCTTCGCCAATGGAGGCCAATTCCATAGTTGGAGCGTATTGGAACTTTGTGTTTGGGTTTTGACGTGCAGATCAGAGATCAGATGTCCTAAGCTGCTAAAATTAAAATCACTTTGCCAAGAAGAGACTTGAGCCATGCGCGACCTTCCCCGAAGTCACAGGGGGCCTGCAGAATAATAGCAAGTGGGTGTAGGACGGTGTAGTGTAGGAAATCAATCTTCCGATTCTTTCTTGCTTTGCTCAGGTGGTGTGTGGTTGACACATGCCCATCATGACATGCCCCGTTTTGTTTTCAACTTCCATGTGGGTATGTAGCTCCAATAATGTCTACACTAGGGAGATCCAATTGAGATAACTGAGGTTGAAGAACCCTAGTTTGACTATCCAATTCCATCCTATTATATACATGTAACAGTCAATAAATAATTCTGAGAAGGGTCTTTACTAGCCATCACCATCCCCAAAGTGTGGTCCTATGTTTCAGGTCAAACATCCCTTCCATGACCCCCACGTCTTTGCAGGACACGCTCCACAACCGCGTGATTGGCCAAGAGGAGGCCGTGGTGGCCATCGCCAAGGCGGTGCGCCGCGCACGGGCGGGGCTGCAGAACCCCAAGAGGCCCATCGCCTCCTTCATCTTCTGTGGACCCACAGGCGCCGCGCGCGGCTGCGCGCGCGGCGTGGTGGGAGGGTGGCGTCATTCGTGTGGGTTTGGGGGTTCATCGCTGGTCATTTTACGATTGGTTGGTTGCTGAGTAGAGGGGAGAAGCTCAAGTGAACAATATAGATATTTGCACCTGGCATTGACCCCTCTATTATTCCCAAGTTAGGACGTCATTGGTAGGGTTGGTGAAGGAGTGAAAGTGTCCAGTCAAAGGTCAGGGTGCTTGAGAAGGGTTTGGACATGTTTGGACAGCTTTCGGGGCTGGTGATTGGAGTTTGGGGTGAGGGGTGGGCGAGATTCTCCAAGTTGTTTGAGGCTTCGGGGTTGGGTGTTTGGTTGGTCTCGGTAGGTTGTTTCTACTTTTTGGAGGGCCTTGTGACTGGTTGGTTGATCACAAGCCCTAGGGTTGGAATGCGTGAGTTTCATTTGGAGTGTCAAGGCTTGACTATATAAAGCAGCAGCTCGACGATCCGCAAAGCCACAGGACAGCTGAAGGGAAATCCTTTCTCATAGACCTGGGTTCTTCAGTTCGTGACCCAACTTGATCCCCTAGTTTGAGGTCGCAAGCTCGGTGACGGACTGAAGCTGGGAGCCACGCACATGGGTTCGAAAGTTGGACCTTTGGAGCCCCAGCGATGTTTCATCCACCGGAGGCAGCAGCTTCTGCCGTTTCACGGTCGGGCCTCCCGTTTCGCAGGTGTTGGAAAGACCGAGCTTTGCAAAGCCTTGGCAGAAGCCTACTTTGGCATGGAGGAGTGGGGTCAATGCTGAAACTACACATGACTCATATATATAGACTATATGCACATGACTCATGTGATTGAAGAACCTCCCTCTTCAGCCTTGGGGGAGGGTGACATAGAATCAAGAGTCTCCATCAGTGGAATCCAGATGAAACGAGTGGATGACAACTCCCCCTATTCCTATAGGCCCGAGTGGGGTCTTTAGGAGCTGAACCTTCGGAAACTGATCCTTCGGGGATGCAGCACCGACCCACTGTGAGTCTTTATCAGCCTACCAGGTACGTACCATCTCTGTCTCCGTTGTGCCTACATCCGATCCACATCAGTAGGACAGCACATCGCTCGGCCGATGGTTGCTTCGAATCGGTGTCATCCGAGGTGTTCTTTCCCGAACTCCACAGCTCAGCACGAAGTCCTGTCGCCACCAGGACTCCATGATTCGCTTGGACATGAGCGAGTACATGGAGAAGTACCTCGGTTGGGTGTTTCTGTGAAGTGCATCCAGCATCATCCAGCACTACCAGTGCCGAACTTCGTGTGGTGGCTATGTGGTGGCTACCAGTTGGAATCCTAAGCATGTATCCGAGATAGAATGGACTTGGCCAACCTTCATCCCCGAGTTTTTGCGGTGCTTTTTTACATGGCAGCAGGTCAAACTAGGGGACCTAGGTTGACCACCGAAAATGAACAGAATCCCAGACATGGTGAGATCTCCGGCTTTGAACCATGTCTGCAGCTCTGAGCTGCAGCTCTCCCAGAGAAAGGCTGGTTCCGTTCCACCCCTGAAAGAACGGTGCGGAAGAAGATGGAGCAGCTGGTGGAGGAAGAGCCAAGTCGCCAAGCCGGAGCAGTCGTCCGTCTCTTTTCGGATGCTCGGGACGTTGGTGGCGGTTTGGCGCCGTCCAAAGGCTTCCGATATGGGGAGCCGTTTTTGGATGGAGGTACACCTGCCAAAAACGAACATAGACCCTGACAATGGTAACCTGGAAGGTTGTTTTCCTCTAGCCAACCAGTGGTTTTCAGGGTCTATGTTAGTTTTCGGGGGTGTAACTGGGCATGCTGAGAATTGCTGAGATGTTTCGGAATTTCATTTGCCGTGCCTGTTTTTTGTGTCAGGGCTTGGCTGGATAAAGCTTCCCCTAGACTTCCAAGACCATAAAAGAAATTGTTGACCTCCAGCAGTCACAAAGGGGTGCTTAATGGAGGTTAGGGGTGCCCATTATCCACTCACTTAGGGACTAAACACCACCCCTTTGTGGGCTGGCTGGTGTTTGTAGTGTAAAATATTGTAAAATCCTTAGTTGATTCGGTAAAGCCGCAAAGCCTATTAAATTAATGGTGGTTGGAAGCCTAGGGCTTCGTGCCCTCTGGTTTCCGCGCGGTTTCCGTCTTTTCTATTTTTTGGGTGTGCGGAAGGTTGGCGAGACCGTCGGGACATCCAGACAGGTGGACCCGACCAGCCACACGGCCAAGCGGAGGCACACGGTGGCCAAGCTCATTGGGTCGCCGCCCGGCTATGTGGGCTACGACGAGGAGAGCCAGTTGACGGACCCGGCCGCTCGGTCATCAAGGGCAGACAAAGGAGTGGACAAGCGGTGGCTGGGCACCAAGAACGAATGGTCCTGGTACAGTATTATTATATGGTATCCCATCTACAGTCTTATAATGTGTTAATGTAATATTATATATATACCAGGAGTCACAAAGGGGTGGTGGTTAGTTCCTAAGTGAGTGGACAATGGGCACCCCAAACCTCCACTAAGCACCCCTTTTGTGACTGCTGGTATATATTGATATATTGTGTGTTTTATTCTTATGATGTGAGATTCGTGAGAATAAGGGGGTAACCTTTGTGTTTTTGGACGTTTCCTTTTTTTTTGGGGGGGGGAGTACCATAAAATATGGTCTCCTGCGTCTCCAGGAGTTCATGTCATTTGCTTTCATTTGTTTCTGGGTGAGATTTGGGACCTGAATTTTTGAATTGTGGCTCCTGCTTATGATCATACTGTACATCAAAACTAGGATTCTGGGGTGCACTATATTATAAATCAAATTTGATCTAGATTTCTGGCAGGCTTGAGCATGACCTGCCTAATACGAATTAAACATTGTATTGTATTGATAAGCCGTTTGACATTGACTGGATTCCAGCCCACAAATTTGAGAATGTTCCAATTCCGCTCCTTACAGATGACATGGCGGCTGCAGCCAACACTACAGTTCGCCACATCATTCACAATCGGCTTGTTGATGGGGCGGCCCGACGATTGGCTACCAGAATTGCGCCGATTGACCCTGCCATCTGGCCCACTTTGCAGGCTGCAATCAGGTCCCACCAACACTGGCTTGTTCGGCTCCATGAGCTCCTCCCCACAGCTGAACCGTCTGCCATCGGGCCTACTGTTCAGGAGTTACCAGACACTCTTTCTCCTGAACAATGCAAGATTCGATATCCTGAGTGGTTATGGGATGCAAGACTGCCTTCTTTTACTTGGAAACCAAAGCTTCCAAAAGGGTTACCAATGCCCGCCAACTGGCCGGCGACGCCAGAAGATTGGACTCAGATCTGTGACTTTCTGCGTGGTCTCCGCTGGAGAGTTGGTGAACAGTATTCCTTTTCGTTTTGCGAGCTTGCGGCGGTGTTTCATCAAACAGGCCATCGGGTAAGTCTGGATGCCCAACTCCTGACTTTTCGTGAGGTCACCAATATGATCCGCAAGGCAATGCAGATCCTCTCCAAAGATTCTGCAGTGGATGCTTTCCCTGGGATTTTTAACTCCACACGACCACGCTCGTGCGGACGGGTCATGCCACAAGGTTGCATCGACCATGCTATTCCGTATGTGACACCCGAAGGGTATCAACTGATTGCTCATCTCCTCGGACGAGGCGCGGGTCGCACACTGGAGTCTTGGGAGATTCCAGTGTGTGACTTTTGACATCGTTGACTTTGCTTAGCAGAGTTTCATGTTGTGTAAAGACCTGTGAGTCTTGCACAAGCCAGACGCACTTGAGCGACTTCTGGCGCGAGAGGTAGTATTTTGTTGTAACTATATATGGATACTTATGGTTACTTTGCCAGGCACCAGCTTCTTTTGCAGCAGTTGCTTAATCGTCGATCCGGGATTCTGTTTCAAGAACGAAGATTTTCTAAATGGCAGATGGTTCATGTTTTATTGTTATTGTTATTACCATTTTCTTTTTTAAATTGCTTATTACTATTACAGTATATATTTTGTTATTGCATCAACAATTCAGCTACCATCCAAAAGCCCAGGCCCATGGTTTTACTAAGCATTTTGCCACTGCAGCAACAAGTCAACCATGTTAAACATGGTCTTGGACTTCAAGGGTGCTGTACATGAACCACACGCACTTAGACTTAGACTTCCACATGGGTATTGTTTGTTGTTGTTGTTGCTGCTGTTGTTCTTCCAACTTCCATTTTTCTTTCCTGAACCATCCTGGATACCTTTCTTCCATGAATGGGGCGGTAGCGGAACCATCCGAACCCGCGCACTTGCCATCCCAACACCGGCTTTGAGAGGTTCTCGCACCCCTGGTGCTCCGACCGGCCTTGAGGTGCGCCGGAAGCCCTATAGCCTGGTGCTGTTCGATGAGGTCGAGAAGGCGCATCCGGATGTCTTCAACCTCATGCCACTTGGACTGAGACGAAGGAGCGGGTTCGCTCCGGAGTCATGAAGAGCTCCGAAGGGCGAGGGAGACGCCGTCGGATCGCGAGGTCGGATCCGGGTGTTTTGGGTCGCCCTGGCGGGAGCTTTCTGGGTGTGGCAGCGCCGGAAGGGCTCGAGGCTCCTTTTCATTACTCCGCTGAAAACGGGGAAGATCAGGGAAGACTAGGACATCGGCCTCGGGTCTTGTCATATCGGGTTTGAGGACCTCCCCAAATGGCCATCTTCGGGATGTGGCTGGACATTCGTGCTTTGACCACGAAGGGGCCAGAAGTCTCCAGGTGCGCCAGCCGCGCCCATCATTGATCACTCTCTGAGGAGAACATATCAAAAACACTACCACTAGTCACCATCCAAGGGCACAGTGATGCTTTGACACGCTGTTGTTCCTCCATAAACACGTCCCCAGTCACCAAGTTTTTTCGGGGATCAACACCCTACAGTGTTTTTTTGTCCATGACATGCCCCCCCCAAAATCAACATCCACAAGAGTCACCTCCTGTAGATCCTAAGGGACCCCTTAGATCACACCTTTAGGATCCCTTAGGTCACACTGTGAGTGGAACGCGCCATCTTTAAAGATTTTTTGAGGTGCCCCTCCTTAATGGGTAGGGATCTTCTTTCATGCCATTTCACCCACATAAAGAGGTTCCTGTCGCTCTAAGTGTGAAAAAAGGACCAAAACAGCTTTCCATGTTCATCATCCTTCCTTCAAAACGAACACCGGTCAGATCCCGGTAGCCCGACCCGCTTCAGGTACCCATTTTGAACTCCTTCAACCTCCGTTTCGAAGGTGGTTGGGAGTTGGAGCCCATGGTGGTTGGGGTCTAACATCCTGAGGATATGGTCTAACCCACCTGGAAATTTAACATGGAACCTGAAAACCCACGTGGGGTTGTAGAGGAACATCGTCTTCCAGTCTGGTTCCATCTCTTCAGGTTCGGTGTAACCCACCTGGACGGGGGGTGTTTCAGGTTCGCCACCCGAGGCTGCAGGTCTTGGAGGATGGCCATTTGACCGACTCCAAGGGCCGCATTGCCACTTGGGGCGACGAAGATGCCGGGGATGCCGGGGGTGGCAGGGTTCAGGGACTGTTGATTCATGGATTTGCTGTGGTTTTGGATGGGTGGATCAATGGATATTCATGGCGAGGTTCTGAAAGAAAGGACCACTGCACCGCTTGTAGGTCCTGCTTGGTATATATTGGTTTAAGGAACTCCTTTGCGCTTTTTTGATCAGAGGACCAGGGAGGGATGGTGAGGCTAAGCAAAGCGTGCAGGTTGGAGATGTTGATGTCCCAGATGGATGTTCCAGAATGTGGGTGGGGAATCCTTGTGCCCCAGTCTGAAGGCCACTGACGTGATGTGATGTTGAATCTTGAATTTTGAGGTTCTCAACGTTCAGATGAAGGTCTTGATCAAACCAAGACCTCCTTCCTATCTTAAATCCTGAGGTTTCTTTCAAGAACACCTTGATCATCCTCACCTCCAATTGTGGAGCGAAGGACGATACAGCTGGGAGTGGAATCATCCGGGATATATATATATACATATGTGATATTTTTTGTAGTACATACATACATACATACATACATACATACATACTTACATACATGGCATGGCATGGCATGGCATGGCATGGCAAGGCAAGGCAAGGCAAGGCAAGGCAACACATCACATCACATCACATCACATCACATCACATCACATCACATCACCTAACGTAACATAACATAACATAACATATCACACATGCATATACTATATATAATATATATATATATCACTGTTCCCATTAAACTTCCGATTGCAGCCATATAAACATCTCATTGGAAGCTGGGAGTGGATAACGGCACAAACTGCAAAGACCTCAAATTCCCCAAGGAATTTCAGAGATGGCTTTTTCAAGGGACAGCCACCCACTGATCCTTCTGGAACCCCACTGGAGGGCGCGCTCGTAGCTGATTGACCAGCTCCTAAGAGCCTTCAGTGCAACTCATGATCACGCAATCATGTTGCCTGGTTCCACAGCCCAAATCAGGCAACTTCCACTCCCGGGCCTAGCTAGGGCCAGCCAAAGCAATTCTCCTCACCAAGCGCACGAGGAGATTGAGAAGACGTTGATTGGTCAGGGCTTGGGCTTCGATGCTGGCGAAGAGGAGCCTGGAACGTCGATGTACCAAAGGCCTGGTGATTGGATACGGCGGGGCTCCCGTGTTCGAAGAGGGGGATGTGGCGGGAGCAGTGTGTCAAAAACCTGGAGCTTCCCCCTTTGTAATCTATTCTGTTCATTTTGGGGGAAGAACCAGGGCTGGCAAGTCATTCTGCTCCAATGCGTGGCTGAAGATGCTGAAGCTGTACACCCTCCTAGGCGATTGCGGGACCCTTGTGGCCCGCCCCTCTCGCCCCTCTTGCCAGGCTGAAGACCAAGGTCCACGAACAGCTCAAGGCACAGTCAGGGAGACAATGGGTTGTCAAGTTGTTGACCCGAACCTCCACTCTCCCCATGGCGGAGTGGAGGAAGAGGGGAATCTTGATCTGAACTTGGTGGACGATGGGCACCGAACATGGCCAGTCCGCAGCAAAACACAATGATGTCAAAGGATGTCAAAGGTGCATCTGATTGACGATTTGCCCATGAATTCTCCTTCTGCCTCCTTCCCTTGTTCCTTTGTGGTTGTAGTGTGGGTTCTTGGACAAGGGGAGGGGGATTCGAATGATCAGAATCTGCTTCTGGATCTTCCCAACTCCCCAGCCTTTGGAACTCGCATCTGGCTGCACCTGAGATGAGGGCAGAGTGGCCTGGCCTGAGCCATGTAAACCAATGCCAATGCATTGAGGGGTGGTGGTTTTGGGGCCGGATTAGGGTTTGCTCAGGTTTTTGGCATCCCTCGTTGGAGTTGAATAGGCTTTGAATATTTCAAGTGACCCATATTTGTGGGAAATCATTGACCAGTCGCCTACTTCCGTTGGTGGGCCTAGCAACCAAGCCAGCTCCGCAACTGCCCAGCCCCACACGGAAGAAGAACCGATGTTTTCCGGATTCCTGCTACTGCTCGCAGTGCCTCCGCAGTGCCTCGCGGTCGCGGCAGCTCTGCCCCCTCAGGGCTTCTTTAGACCGGAGTTCCTCAACCGCTTGGATGAGATCATTGCCCCCCCGCGGCAAGATCGATCCGCTCGATCGCCGTGGGGTTTCGTCGTTGGTCGTGGTGAAGGCAAATGGGGTTTGAGGAATTTGACATGGGCAAATGCATGCGCCGATAAGCTCTCTGTATATACTTTAATACTTTACAGTATATACATATGTCATACCAGAAGTGACACAGGGGTGGTTTTTAGTCCCATCCAGTGAGTGGAGTAGCTGGGCACCCCTCCAAGTTCGGCACCCCTTTGTGACTCCTGGTGTACATATATATATATATATACATACACACCTACATTACATATATATATATATATATACCAGCAGTCACAAAGGGGTGCTATCCATGGAGGTTAGGGGTGCCCAGCTACTCCACTCACTGGATGGGACTAAACACCACCCCGAGCTGTGACTCCTGGTACATGTTTTTGAGTCCGAGTCCTGTGGGAACGGTTCGGCACCGTGGTTTTCCGCAGTGCGCCGCTGTCATTCCCTTTCTGGAGTCATCGACAAGTCGGCTTAGCAACGAGAAAAGGTGAGGATGGTGGGTCATTGGTGGTTTGCGATGTTGTATGATCCATGAATGATCTACAGCCCCCCCGAGAACTTTGGGCTCAAACTGCAAAGACATCCAAAGACCATGTTTGGGCAACACCTTACACATCAATGATCAGCCAAGAGTCTTGAGGGGGGAATAGCGGTCCTGATCCTGGGTGGAGAAAGACATTTGTTTTGACACGGTTGAACTCGTCCACCGACGGTGTGGAAGATGATCCGAAGCATGTTCTGGGAGCATCCGGGAGCCGCTTATTATATATACCCTTCCGAGAGGAGTGGTGTTTGGGCAGTGGTTTGTCAACAGATGAGTGAGTTGCAGGCTGAGGAAGGCTAAAGAACACCCCCAGGCACCCTCTTGGTCAGTGCTGGACAAGAAAAACAACACGTGCAGAATGCTCTTTGCAAGGCTAGGGAACAAGCAGCGGACAGACATTAAGAGTCTCATCAGCTCAAATCCTTCACAGCACGTGCGCCATGGTGACAAGAATCTCAGTGCTCCAGCCAAGTGGTGGACTCATAGTTCTTGAAGTCACACCAGAGACCACAGGCCGGGAGCTCAAGCAGCGGATCAAAGAGGGACAGCCTTGGGATGAACTCACTCGGAGCACTACTGGTGTGGAGATAATCCTTGATGATGCCAATTTGCTAGCGAATGACCAGAGGGGACGCAGGACTTGCTGGAGATACTGTGGCAAGCCGAGTGATATGCACCTGGTGACCTGCGATCGCCAGTCTTGGCGGTGTCATTGACTCAGATTTGTCGCTTGCGGTTGAAATCCGATGAAATCAAGTTTGTGAGTTCGCCTGTGCAGGTTGCACTACATTGGCCAAAGTGACCATCCCAGACTCAGTGACCCAGATTTTGAGTACGCCTTTGCACATTGCAGCTCCTTGGTGGACTTGACCATCCTGAGCTCAGTGACTCACATTGAGCGTTCCGCCTTTGAGAATTGCAGTTCTTTGGCGAGTTTAACCATCCCGGACTCAGTCACCCACATCGAGGCTTTTGCCTTTCAGAACTGCATATCTTTGGGCGAGTTTGACCATCCCAGACTCAGTTACCCATATTGGTCCTGGTGCCTTTTGCAATTGCAGCTCCTGGGCGAACTTGACCATCCCAGACTCGGTGACCTACAGGATGGTGCCTTTCTGGATTGCAGCTCACTAGCGAACTTGACCGTCCCAGACTCGGTGACCTACAGGATGGTGCCTTTCTGGATTGCAGCTCACTAGTGAACTTGACCATCCCAAATTCAGTGACCCACAATTATTGGCAGGTCACTCTCTGGTGGTTCTGAGTGTCCAGCTCTCTAGTATACAGCTTTGGGATCAATGCCTTCCATGGCTGCAAAAGCATCCTCGCGAAAGAGTGGTTGCTGTCACAGATGCGACGACAGCTGGTTTCCGAAAGGCTGGCTTTTGTCCCGGCACGAGCGTGGGCGCCGCAGCGACCTCGGTCGCAGCGACGCCCGGCAGTCGGGACTTACATGCGACGGTGAGCCGTGAGCCATGAGGGGCCGTGTCTCCTTGCCTTTTGAGGTGGGTGAAAAAGGAGAAAACATAGGATGGTGCATGATGGTGCAAATGGTACACGGCTAGGTCAACCCTGGGAGTCCACGGCCATTCAAGCGGTCTGACGATTCAGGTAACCCGATCTCTCTGTGTCTTGTCCTGGCTGCTGCGAGATGCTGTTCCTGAACTTCGCTATCTGAGCTGGGTGAACAAAGAAATCAATACCAGGATGAACCAGCAAAAGATGCCTATTTGGTCTCAGCTCTCAGAAAGTCTCAGCATGAAAAACATTCGCTATCTGTGTGAGTGTGATGAATGACCTCCCCAGCCCAGAAACCTTCTGTGAGAGATCGCTTCGTGTAGAGATCGCTTCAGCTGGGACCTGTGACCTGATCCACTCACTGGATGGGACTAAAAGCCCACCCTGACATCTGACTCCTGGTCCATGAGTTTTTCAGGACCGGCTTTGGACCTGGGTTCAGTAGAGGCCCTCACCAAGCATCTTCAGCCACTACCGGAGGGACCGGGGACCAGGTCAACGACTGGCGCCCGGGTGTTCGATCGTCCTGCCGCGATTGAAAGCTCCTCGAATGAGAGCAAGACTTCCTACTTCCCATCTTGGCCCCTGCCAAGAGGTTGAGAGACGGGAACTGGACCTCCCACACGGTGACATATGACATAGAGACTGGTATAGAGCTAATGATAATGATAGGGCATGGGCTATGCGGCTGATGCCCCACCAGGCCCCACCAGGCTGGAACACAGCCCTGTGTTTGTCGGTCCAGTCGCTAGAACCCGGAACTGAGGTCTTCAAGTCCTTGAACAAACAAGAGGTCCGCGAGATCGCCGAGCTCGAGTTCCGCAAGACCTTCAAGCGCGCTTTGGAGCATGGAGGATGGTTCGGAAGGGGTTCGGAAGACGTGGAGTCTCCTGGAGGAAGGATCGCGCAAGCCATGACAGGGTCCAAGGCGGACGTGGGAGCAGTTTTATCACTTGACAGTTTTTGAGAAAGATTCTAGGACCCGACTCTACAGGTCACCAATTGAGACCTGTTTGGGTCCAACAACCCTCAACTAACAGAGGGTGCTGGTTGATGTCATGTCGCAGCTTTTCGAGGTCTTGGACTTGTCAGTCCATGCTTCCCAGTTGGAGCTGCATGCGGGTCCACATGCCTCCCATTGGTCAGTGTTCACTGGTCCAATACAGTCCAACCGATGGCAGCTGCAAGGGGGGGGCATGGAGTGTAGGTGTGGACTTCCTTATATAAGGGGGCAACGATCACAAGCCACCAAGCAGCTATTCATTTGCCGATGGAATATTCCTCTCTCCGTCACAGGTTTCTCTGTAAGGAGCGTCTCTGGGGATTCTTCAAGATTTGGACGTCAGACAAATTGACCATAGTACCTGGACCAAAAAAAGATAAAAAAGGGGTGTCCTGGCTGGAGGTCCCTGATCGTGGTGGGCTGGGGCGGCAACAGCCAGGTGACCCCGAACTGAAGATGCTGGTGTCTACATGATAGATAGAACGTTCTTTTTTTTTTTTCCTCTCTCTCTCTCTCACACGATGACGGGATGACTGCATCTCTGTCTGCCCTACGCTCGATGGATTTTCACCTGGACCCCCCCTGGAGGTTCACCTACCCTCAGCACCCTCACTGACCTGGGTACCAGAGGGAAGAGCCATGAAGAGACGGGCCCTGAAACTTGGACCTGGGGCCAAAAATAGTTCCATCGGTTTTTTCTGATATTTTTCTTTCCCAACTGGGTGAATCCCCTTCTGTAGAATAGGCTTGGTCTTTTCTTCCCAGTTCCTGGACAGCCAAATCTGAGCTTTGGGCTTCGTCATGTCGAAGCAACCCCTTTCGCCTCCCATTTCGGGCGTGGCGCGACCGGGTCCGGGGAACTCCGCCTTGCGCGCGCGCGGATGGAGCGTGCTTAGGATGTCAGGAGAGGGGAATCACCCTCTCATTGACCGACCGTTTCAAGACTAAAGTCGTGGATGAAGGAGTCCTCAGAGATTGACCAGCGACCCGGGGGAGAGCCGGGAGGGGGGGGACTGGTGGCCACTGAAAGTGGCTCAATGGTTAGTGGGGACGAACGAAAACACGACTGAGTGCATCTTAGTGCTCCCAGTGGGTCCCTACTGGAGACCTACAAGTAGTGTAGGGGCCAGTCACTCGGTTTCAGAACTTTGAAAGGCACTTCAGAAGGCACAGGGTACCCCTACGGACAAGTACAGCATGGTGGGCCATCAACCTTCACTTCTGTCACTCTCGATCCACTGGCTTTCCGGTCTGTGACAGTGATACTCGATGCCACTCTGACTCACTAACATCGAAGTGGAAAATGGTCCTTTGGAAGACTACTTTCCCTTACGAACAAGGGGTTTTCCGCTTCCATGTTAGTGAGTCAGAGTCAGAGTCAGAGTGTATTTGTGTGTTTTTTTTTTTGGGGACCTCTTGTTGAAGCTCTTGCAGGGCCACGGATCATGTAGCCCAGTTTGCAACATTGGCATATATTGGCACGCTGCCTCCGTGTCCTAAGCGTCGAAAGCCTGAAAAGCGCAATCGGGTTCTTCTGTTGGATCAGACGTTCGACGTTGGGATTATGGCAAACCACTCTCACGCGGTCAGAGTCGAAATGAACAAACACCGCAATCAGATGCAAACATATATGAACCATCCAATGATTGTCCGATGGACTACCCTGCACTACTTAGGGATCTCCATTGGACACCCATTGGATGGTCCAGGTGTCCTAAAGTATAGTCTCTGTCTGTCCTATTACCTGTTACAGTTACCGGTACTGACGACTGTAACCATCATCCTCCAGTGTTACTGGCCATGGGACATTCCCAAGGTATAGATCGTATAGTCAACAAGTACACTCGCACCACACACATGGCCGGACTCACACTCGACTGACCTGACTGGCGACTGGAGCCGAATCATGCTCCCATCGGTCACGGGTACCTGCTGCGAACTTGGAAAAAAGAAACCCACACGGCCAAAACCACGACGAAGTCGGTCCCTCGGTGGACACCGTGCTCTGCGCGGTGGGGTCGCTCGGCAGCGATTTGGCCAGGATATGATCCGGTCTACGGCGCACGCCCCTTGCGCCGCGCCATCATGCGGCTCTTGGACGACAAGTGGCCTGGTGGTGCATTAAATATCGTGGATTCAGAATAGATGGCACAGACCCCAAGGTCGGTGGTTTAGGACTGGACCCCCCATCTGTCGACAGGACATCATGGGGTCCTGTGCCATCTATATACTCTGAAACCACCGTACATTAGGGTGGCTTCTATTTCTGTTCGGCTCTTCGGCTGTTCCGGGTGAACCGCCGGGTGAACCTCCGATGTTCTGAACCAGCTCGCTGGTTGCGCTGGTTCCTCGCAGCCATTGACCCGGTTCCTCCGGCATCTCCAAGGCTGGCGGAAGCCTTTTTGCATGAGCCCACCGTTGAGGGCGAGTGCATCATTTGCGACATCGACGAGGTGGACGTGGGTCATGGGGTGGACGTGGGTCAGGGGAGGCGTATAGTCTAGTCAGTGTAGAGGCGGGGAAGTGGGCAGCTTGGAGGTGTGAATGTGAATTCCTAAGCAACAATGACCGCCAGTGTCATCTCCTGGAAGCGGCTGCTCTCTAAACAGCCAGGACAGGTGCAAAACTGCGGGTTGGTATGTACATCAGGGATCATCAGGGATCTTAGGGTTTAGGCTTAGGATTGGCCGGCTCGAAGCCAGGGCCTCTTCGCAGGATGCCGTCCTCCGCCTCTCCACGACCCGACCGTGCGGACCCGACCGGGCCATTGAACCCATCCCGACCGGGACTGCCGGACTGCCGCCCCTGGCATTGGCCCCCCCCTGGCACCACCCCTGGCCGTTTTGAAGGCAGTCCGACATGGCATATACATGGAGCCTTTGGTCAAAAACAACCCTACCGCCATACCCTTCGAGGAGAGCGAAGTGGTCGTGCTCCGGCAGAAGTTGGGCCAGGGCGATGCCGAGCCCGTCCCCGAGGAGGTCGAAGTCAGCGAAGTCACGTGGCTCGGCGCACCTGGTGGGTGGCAGACGGCGAGAGAGGTCTCGGTCTCAGTGTTTCATGGCTTGGCTGCGGGATGGTCTCAAAGCGCGCAACATCCGACGGTGAGAGAAATATGTGAACATCCAAGAGAGGTTGAGAGACCTGAACTAAGACCCTGCCACTACAGGGTACATATGGGATGGGCGACCTTAGGGCTGTGAAAAACCTCTCTTGGATGTGCTTGCTTGACGCATGTCAGACACCGACCTCGGAGGTCTGGTGTCCAGGAGTGCACCCCCCCAAGGCTCAAGGTTGACGAATGGACCACTTGAAAGCCACTGCAGAAGTGAAAGGAAGAGAACTTAAATGAACCTAAGAACATTTAGACGACCACCTTTGAGATTCCAGTAGTTCGTCGTAGCTCAACAAATCTTTGACGGAGGTGTCCGCTTCTGGCTGCTTGTTGAGCGCTCCTTCTTGCCCAGGAACGTCCGCGCATAAAATCTATGTGAAAAAAAAGGAGGCTCTTACCGACCCTCCTCTGCACTCAGCTTGGGAAGCAAGGTTTCAGACAGGTGCTCCCGACCGGGGCTTTTGGTCGGTCGGTGGAGAAAGACGGCATGGTATGGGAGATCACCACACGACAGGTAGTTGGAGAAAATCAGGAGGTGCCTGTGGTAGTTGATATAGCCAACACCAGGACCAGGAGTCACAAGACGGGGTGCCGAACTTGGAGGAAGTCGGGGTGCCCATTATCCATGCACTCACTTAAGAGACTAACAACCACCCCTTTATGACTCCTGGTGGCTGCGTGTTCTTGGGTAATCTAAAGGTCTTGGTCTGGTGAGCTGTGTAATGCTTGCAGCCACCTGCGAGTCACCGGGCGTTCCTCAAGAGAAATTCCCACGTTTTACCCCTGCCCTGCTGCAGACCATGTGTATAGGGTTGGGTCTGTCGAGTCCTCGTGGCAAGATTCCATTTGGGAGGTCATGCATCACCAGTGCTCATGAATGATCCACGTGGTCGTTATATATATATATATAGAGAGAGATAGAGAGAGAGAGTCTTCCCCCCCCCAAATTGGCCGAGTCTAGAGTTTCGTTTCTTTTTTTGGGTGGGGTAGGTTTGGGAGCATCCGAAGCACGATAAACCTTCGTTCTTCTGATTGATTTTTGAGCCACCATAAAATGTACCAAACATCTCTTGATTGGTCCTCCCCGGCCTATATGAAGAGTATTTCAACATGTTTCAATCATATTGGGCCTAGATGGGCCTAGTCTTGGGGGTTGATTCCACCATCGCACTCGGTCAATAAAACCGCGCGCCGAACCCACTCTGGAGTTCGAAGAGTGAACAAGAAGGATGCACCAGCAGTCACAAGACGGGGTGCGATCGGAGGAAGTCGGGGTGCCCACTATCCACTCACTTAAGGACTAGGGGA